CAATTGATGTTGACTCAAGAAAGGATTAAACTTTTTCATTAAAGTATTATTGGATTTCAATAATACTTTATACTTCATATTTTAATAATAAAAATATTGCATTAATTTTCAAAATCTCAATATTTTGTGGTAAGTCATAAAAGTTGACATGTTAACCGAACTTTGTTCACATGTTAATGTCACTTATTTACATTGTTATATAATTGAGAAAAATCCATATAAAACTGCAATACAACATTGTAATAATGTTTTATTTTACAGATTCTGTTAAAATGGATAGTAATACTNACTCTGGGAAAACAGGTAAGCCGGAGCCGACGGATTAGGGGCCGTCCGTAAATTACGTCCACATTTTTCTCGAAATTTTTACTCCTCCCCTCTCGTCCCAGTTTCCGTAAAACCCTCCCCATCCAGTGTGGACGTTGTTTACGGATGTCCCTTACCGTCGAATACGGAAGTCAAACCTATGGGTAAACATTTCAGGTGTGCCTGGGTTTCGTCACCAAAGTGAACGACGAAGGAGTTGCGGAAACGGTAACTGGCGATTACGTGACGAAAAACACTTTCGAGATCGACATCGCTGGAACCAAGTATCCGGCCACGGCTAACGTCCACTCCCCCAAGCTGACGTTCATAGACTACGGCGACAACGCGGGTTACATGGCAACCAGATGATCCTCCAAGCGTTTGTAAAAATTTACTTCATATTTTAATAATAAAAATATTGCATTAATTTTCAAAATCTCAATATTTTGTGGTAAGTCATAAAAGTTGACATGTTAACCGAACTTTGTTCACATGTTAATGTCACTTATTTACATTGTTATATAATTGAGAAAAATCCATATAAAACTGCAATACAACATTGTAATAATGTTTTATTTTACAGATTCTGTTAAAATGGATAGTAATACTAATAATTTAATTTTTTGAAAGTTCTTAATGATTTAACCATTTAATTTTTTTGAAAGTTTATGTTCATAATTAGAGTTCCTAAATAATTCATAAAATAACTGCTTCAGTAGATCACTCAATTAACCATATACTGCCTTGTATAGGACAAAACAGTTGATGTTTATTAAACTAACTTTTTAGGTTATATTTAATGACCTTCAGACTTGCTATTCAAAAATCAAACACTTTACAAAAGCTAATGAGAAGTAGAATGAAAAACATTGGAATGTCATCAATTCAGAATATGCAAAAGACATCACATAAAAAAAGTACCAAAACTCATTATGGTAGTTTTTCCACTGTAAGCAACAAACATTTTATTTTTATAAGACATTCATGCTATACCAAGACCTTAAATGCAGGAGGTACTGCTCAATGTAGTCCCTATTCTAGAAATATAAAACTTGAGACAATGATAATGTGTTCAACAGCTGACTGTAGTTGATCATCTGTAATGTTTCTCATAGGCAGTGTGATAGTTTCTTCCAAGGCTGCCAAATTTGCAGAATTTCATCAATAAATCAAATTTTTTAAGTATCCCTATAAGCAAAAATCACACAGATTAAGAGCCAGAGAGCAGGCAGAAGGAAATGCACAATCAATCACTCTGGTATTGGTAAAATGTTACAGAAACTGCTTTATATGTACTTACACTCCATCTTGCAACTGCAGTTTGCCCAACTAAACCATTTTTATGGAACATAGATGTTATTTGATTATTGAAATGCTATACAGTAAAAGTTCAATATAACAAACCACTACAGGACTGAAGAAATTGGTCTGTTATAATGAAAGTCCATACAGTGGCGTGCCGTCATTGGAAGCAGCGGATGCGCCACTTCCTTTGTATTTTCTAAAAAATAAATACCTAATAATTTTAATTATGTGAAAATAATCGCACAATATTTTATTATAACCGCATTATGTATAAATATCTTATTACAAATTTCTATACTACATGTGAAAAAAAAAAAAAATAAGACTGCTATTGTATATTCGAATATTAGTGATGGAGTGGAAGCGCTGTATTGTCAGCATCTAAAAAGCCAGATTCGCGCATGCACTTTACAGAGCACCAACCTCACCTGGTTTAGCTGGTTGAAGCCTAGGACCTTGGGTAGATGCTACACATATACCCCATCCAATTCTATCCAGGACTGGTTCTGGGCTGTTAGTTGCCTGCCTGCCTGCTAGATATGTGGCCTTTGGCTGCCCTCGCCCGATTACGTGAATCAAGAGTAGATTTATAACCCAACCAATAAGAATTTACTGGTATGTTTTTATGATAGTTCTGTATAGTTGACAGGAGTTTAAAAAATCCATTAAAATATTTGATATTTTTATTCCGCTCTCCGATTTTATATTACTCACGGATTTCAATATTAAACCAGTGATATTACAATTTTGTATATCCCATCTTTAAGGGGATGTAGAAAAAAGCATGTACAATTCTTGTATAATGTTAAAAAATTAACTGTTATTTTGACAGCATCATTTACAAGTATATTTAATGAATGAGAGAGATGCATGAGGTACAGAAAAAGCTCTAGAATTTATTTTCCTTAAATTTACGATTTATGTATTTGTTTGTCATGAAAATTTGTCTTTCCACTTTTTTCCCGAGACTACAAATATTCGAGTACAAAGTAACTGGTTTCAACTTATTTCTACTTAAGAAGTGGTTAAATAATTAAGCAATTAGGGAATTGGGGACATAAACAAAACCCTGATGAAAGAGCCGAAATTTTACTTAAACAAAAGCTTAACCGAACCATCTCTAGCTGAGTACAGTGGAGACTGATTTCTTCGTATTATTAATGTAATAAAGACAGAAATTTTTCCAGTTCAATGAGAGTGACCGAAAAGTTGTAAATTTTGGAAATTTCTGAGGACAACATCTGGTCCTAAAACGAATTAGTTAGAAAACAAATGACTATTAAGTTTAACATATTTAGATTTTTACAGCTATGGTTGAGAAACATTTAAAATCTGCAACAGCCCTGTCGCGTCCTTTGAGGTATACTAGTGATGCAACAAAAGAGGTATTTGACATTGACCAGTATCGGCACCCTGGGGATTTGGCAGTCCGCGTATATGCACGCTCTACAACCGTCTTCAATTGCATCCATTAGCCACTCGTAGGGAGCTATTTGACTAAGTGCATTGTTTTAAGATTTAAAAAGTAAAGGATATTTTATGTTATTTTTACGTACGTTTCTTTACAAAGCTATATTTAATTATAATTTTCTTTAAAAGTATATTCATACAACTGAAGAATGTTTTGTACCAGGTATGTACAGGTACATCCACCACACATTTTATTTCACCAAGTAAGTTTTTATTATTTTACTTTTAATTGTAGCCCTTATCAGGGCTGTGGAGTCGCGTAAAAATCTACCGACTCCAACTCCGACTCTTCCTTACCATCCGACTCCGGCTAAAACACCAAAACTCCACGACTCCGACTCCACAGTCCTGGCCCTTATATCGTGGCTAGTGATTCGGAATGTAATAGTGATATTAAAAATGCATTTAGAGAAGTCTACGGTTTATACTGGCTTATCGAATAAACGATACGAATGGACCCTAGACCATCACTGACACGCAATTGACTGATTGCCCCTGGATGTTGGCTTCTTACAGAAACACAGCTTCCCTATCATCAAATGTCACTGCACGTCACTGAGTCCATAATAATGAAAATCCATTACTATACAGTAGAATCATGATAGAATAGATCTCAATAACAGACTAGCAGAAGTTTGTTACAGCAAATGAATTTTCTTATAATTTTCCTATACTTTCTGTCAGACCTACATAAGCCATAATGTGAGGTCTGTAATATCAAGCTTTTACTGTACTTATATAAATTAAATACATCTCATTTAAAGTAGACCTATCTCTTATTTACAATATAATTAAAATATACAAAATATTTGAATTAATGGGTCAATTTAACATCAACTTACACTTTATCATTTGAAGTGTTAATTTCAACTGAATGGAAAAAATAAAAATAATAATAAATGCTATATATAAACTCTTTATAATTATATCTACAAATATATTAATATTATATTAGAATTTTCTTAATATGAATTTCTATCAAATCTGTTTTATTACCTATTTAATGAGTGGAATAACCAATTTATACTTAAATATTTTCAGTTAGATCAGGGGTTGCCAAAGTGGTCGATATGGACCCCCAGGGGTCAATGCAACATCATTGGGGGGTCGATGCGGCTAAGGGGTCGATTAGGGGGTCGATGAGGATAAGGGGTTCACAACCTTTTTTTTTTTTTCTTAGACAGAGACCACAACCCACGTTTTTTTTTTTTTTTTCGCTCATACATATTCACTTGTAATAAAACTTTACGGTGGGGGTCAATGTGAGGCTTTGGAAAGTGATTGGGGGTCGATGGTTAAAAAAGTTTGGCGACCCCTGAGTTAGATCAAATCCGTATTTTCAAATAATGTACAGAATAACTATTTTCTCTCAATTGACAAAATCTATATTAGAATACATTGAAACATAATCAATCATTTCAAAAAGCACTATTTTGTGTGTACAGTACATTATGCAAAAATTAAGAATCTAGCTTTAATTTTCATTTATAATATAATAATAAGTCAAATTTATTTCTGATAATGCTACAAATTAAGCATTATTTTTTGAATAGTTAATATATGTTGTTTGTGTTAATAAAAATCAATAATTTATTATCACATTATATTGATTTATGAATATCTTCATGGTATTGTACTCTATTAATTTCCATTATTTTTACCAATTAAACTGAATCAGTCATTGAATTAGATCAACTGTAATGAAAAATACTGAATATCAGAAATTTAAGTTCACATTTTATAAAAAGTCAAATTTTATCTATTATAATACTGTATGTCTAATTACTTAAAATGTTTTTAGATTTAACATCTTTTTCAATGTAATAAATTTTCAAAGTTTACATGTTACAATATAGTATAATAAATTTATTAAACTATATTATACAAAAAAGTTTTCTTTGCATATTTAGATATCTTACCTGCATTGATATTCCTTCAACTCTTGCTACATAAGCTACACAGTCAAGAAATGCAACAGCCACAGGAACACAGAAAGTAATTCTTTGAATAAGTCTTTTCAGCTGAGGAAACTTCATCTATTAAATATAATTAATTTTAAATTATAACAAAATCAATAATATATTAAATTTTAATTTTTAGAAGTTATAAATATGAATGTTCAAACCGAATTCAGGTTTTTTAAAGTTTAAACTGTATTTTTCTTGCTGAATTCCTATAATTACAATATTTACTCGCATATAGGATGAGGTGCGACTTTAAAGATCAAAATAAAGAAAATTAGATTTATTAATACAATTCTAATTTTATTTCGTTTAATCACAAGTAAAATATCAAATGAACATAAATGAACACATTGTCATGCAAAAATTACTGTCATTTAAACTTTAAGGAAAAATCTTGTAAAATCTACAACATAATTTATTCATGTAAAGTTGGACAATCGGGAACCTTTTTTGCCAATTCTTAATAGTCGAATTAACTCTCCATCAATTACACTTATGAGTTTTCCGAATTCTGATTTCTGAATAATCATCTGTTTTCACGTGGGAATGGATTAAAACTTGTATCGTACTCCTGTGTGATTTTGGAATTTCAATTTGGAATTCAATTCAAGTTTTGCTTTTTCTATTACTATCCATCTTTACTCCTGACAATATACAAGAACCAGAGCCGTAACTAGGCAGGTGCAACAGGTGCACCCGCACAGGGCCCACTTGGAAGGGGGGCCCAAACTGCTGTTCACAAGAAATTATATTTTTGAATTTTAAATTTTTCTGCCTTTCTACAGCGCAGTTTGGCGATTACATTTCTCCTTACTTAGACCCTAGATCAGTGTTCCGCAACCTTTTTCTACTTGCGGCACACCCATGACTCAACACGGCACACCAAAATGTTATTCCCCTCAAAAACGTATGATATGATACTCTTACTAGAATTACATAATGCCACTAACCTATTATTATTGTTATTAAACAGACACCAACATCTGTGAGTAAATTTTCTTTACATATAATTTATTAGAATACATAAAAATGGGTGGCTTGTAATAAAGAATAAACGAACATCATCTTATTTCATCAGTGTTGCGGCAGAGAATGATAAACATACAAAAGATAACATAAGAAACACAACACCATACATACACAAGAACATACAACATACATAAATAAGAAACACAACAACTGTGATAAAAATATATAAATAAAATTTGAAATTAACAGAATATGTAAAAGTTCACGTCACATCTTTCACCATGTGACGGCACATCAGTGTGCCGCGGCACACCGGTTGCGGAACACTGCCCTAGATGTCTGCTCACCAGTGTTGCCAACTGTGGCGACTTTTAGAGGGACATAGTGAGGTAACGGAGCGGAGACCTCAGACAAATCAGCCAAAAGTAGTGACTTTTGAGATTTTTTAATTTATTTTTTGAGAAATTTAAATTTATGTTTATAGTTTTTAAATTTACAGATTTTTCTCTACTTTATAGAGCTCTCTGACAACTACTAATATTATTACGATATACAAAACTGTATTTCTAGATTTTTCTACAGTGTCCAGAGCTAGAAATCTGTAAAGGTAACATTTTGTAACAAAAATAAATCTGCCCGAGGATTTTTTTNCAAGGAAAATATGAGTCCAGTAAGATGTTATATGGAAAACCAGTCACTATTCAGTTGTTAGACACGTAAATAAAAAATTTCAGAAAACATCACTCAGTCACTTTTTTAGTTACGCTCAGAATACGATATTAATTGATTATATACATATGGCCATAAGTGAGGCGGATGAAAAATGGATATAAAACTGAAGAATGTTAAGAACAATGCGGTGTATGGAGTGCACCATTGGTAAATCACTTAATGGTAATTAGTTCAGATTCATCGTGTTTTTAAAGTACCGTATCATATTACATTACTATGCTGAACACTTTGAAAATTTGTTAATTCACTCGTAACGCCTAGAATGTTACAGAAATTTTAGTTGACAGAATTGAACACATTTATTAATTAAATTAAATTAAAGTGTAAGTGTGTGAGAGCNTGTATGGAGTGCACCATTGGTAAATCACTTAATGGTAATTAGTTCAGATTCATCGTGTTTTTAAAGTACCGTATCATATTACATTACTATGCTGAACACTTTGAAAATTTGTTAATTCACTCGTAACGCCTAGAATGTTACAGAAATTTTAGTTGACAGAATTGAACACATTTATTAATTAAATTAAATTAAAGTGTAAGTGTGTGAGAGCCGAACTTAGTAGAATAAATTGTTAAATATTTTTTTTTCGTTCGAGAATCGTCGCACATCTGAAGGTCTGACTTTGCCTATCCTTCGTTTTAAGCGCTTGTCTTTGCTTTTTCATTTCTCTTTCCTCTATCGCTCTAGTCCATGTATGCCTATGCATACATCATAATACGCGCTCACGATACTTTCGATTCGTCACTTTTCCGTCGTAGATTTCCCATTTTACAATTACGTGACTCATAGCTTGGTGATAGCGGAGAAAAGAGACAGATAGGACGTCGGTATAAGTCACAGTTATAATTTCACAGATTCGAGACAGCTTGGTAGCGCGAATGGCCCCAGGCTTTCGCCCGTGCACGCTAAGTGACTTTCATTACAAGCATTTATCTTTCCGAAGTCTATGACAACAATTGTTTGGTATTGACAGCCGGTGAGGGCGCCGCCATCTCGGATTGTAAAGTTCGCTGAGGATAACGGCTCTTCATTGGATTACTTTTATTACGGATCTACACTTCCTATGTAAGTCAACTATATAACGTTTAAAAACTGAAGTGGTGGACTTTAAAACACCGTTTTAATTTTTAAATTCGGTTGTATATTTCGAGAGTTACGTTTCACTTTCGACCGTGTCTACGTGGTCGGCATTCGGACAACTTTTACTCCGACTGCATGCACTTCCGGTTTGGGATCGTTGTGTGGTTATCTTCGCTATTTCAACGTGGCTCATATAATATATTACTCAAGACGTTCCGTTATTTATTTCGTGAAATAACACGACTGTCACTGGCTAAATTTCGGCAGTCTGTTTGGCCGATCCATTAGGCCATCCGCCATGATCTTTATACATCGGACAGGCGACCGTAATATACGTTTTATCTGCAAGTTTCTTTAGTTTTCGTCGTTTTTTTTCGAGTTATCGTGTTAGATAACTTTTGAGAAAAAAGGTCGTCGACTTCGCCACGTGCTCTGATCGGTACCCCTAACTGACTCTAATTCGGTTGCTTGTTTGGTTCTCCTGCGTTTATGGAGTCATCTAGTAAGGCCGACATCATCTGGACATCATCTGTTTATGTGTATGCAAGTGAAATCTCTAAAACTGCTACTACTTTTATTCACTCCAAGTGAAATTCTCTTTTGTTGCTATTTATGTTACAACAAACAGTAGACTACTTTATTTGAAAAAATAAATATTAGCAACTAGTTAGTTTTCGATGAAAATTTGCCTAGTTGGACAGGCGATTTTGAATATAGATTCAGCAATGGGCGCGGGCAACAGTGCCTAAGATTCGGTTATCAGTTACACTCATGACTGAACAATGGAGTCATCAGATATTCTTCGCGTTACGATTCTAACTGTCAGAAGCCCAGGAGCTACTTGCATTACAAATCGAATTTGTAGTGTAAGTTACTTCCTCTTCTATTTTGTCTAACAAATGGCTTCACACATCTAGAATGAGATTTATAATTTTCTCTTAATGTAAAAATATATAAATCACACAATAGATTTTATTATCTTTGTTATAGTTCAGAGCGTAACTGTCCCTACGATCTATAAACTTCGGACACTTAATTTAAGAATAGTTTAATTTTATTAATAGATTATAACTTGTCGCTCACGTGAATTACAAAGGGATATAATATTTTGGTTTATTCTTTTTCGGGTGGTGATAAAATCGAATTTTTTTTCATCTTTAAACGAGATGATCATCACAAAACACCAGACTATTAGGTTTTTGTCCACATTAACGTGGCAACGCAACAATAAAACTCTGTGTACTAACAAATTGTCGTAGTTTTATTGTTGCCAGCGGTCGTTGATTGTTATTGCGAACGGTTGGGTTTTTAGTTCGAGCTGTCAAAATTTTCTCGTTTCGAGTGTTTTTCTCAGTTTCGTTTCGTTTGAGTCGATTTTATCTTTAAGTATAGAATACGATGTTTCTAATTTTACGTATTTTTGAACATTGTTAAGCCGAATATCACAATTAGTGCCAATAATTTTCCGACTAATCTCTATTTCCGTAACAATTGATCGCTCTCAAAACGAATTATATATCGAACATTAAAATTACCATATTTAACAGAGATTTTATTATAATATTCATTTGTGACTTTTTCTTATAATTAAGACGATATTTTCAAAATGATTTTTTTCATTAGAAATCTTACAATTTACATAAAATGAAATTAACAAAATCAATGATTTTCATAATAGTCGTTTCTCTCTTTTGCAGAATGGATAATTTCAAGGAATTAAAGAAGTGGCGCACCTCGGCAGATGGTGCGAAGGAAGAAGGCTCGTCGTCGTCTTCCGCTTCGTTTCCAGTGATTCGGGTGCTCCCGAAAGATGTCGAGGAGAGCGGAGAGTGCACTAAACGGGTGGTTGTCATTACTCCCGACGATAGCGCCTCGACTGTGGTCGACTACCTGGGACTGCGGTACCCGGAAGTTGCAGAATGGACGGTGGAGTGTCGAGGGGAGTCCAAAGTGATCGTCGAAACATCCGTCAAGCAGAAGAAACCTTGGTGGAAAAGGCTCTTCTTCTGCTGCGTAAAATGAAAATTTTCTCTTCCGAGGTCACTTTTCACCGGATATGACTCTGCTACCCGAATACGACTTTGTCACCCGGAAATGACGTTTCACCCGGCTACGACTTAATTTACTGGACTTGACATTTCATCCCGGATTGGTTTTTTTTCGCTTTGAATTGACGGACAGACATTTCTGCACTGGTTTTGTTCAACTTCGATTAGATTAAAGTCCATAGAACAACGACAGTCTGATTATCTGCAATGTGACAAGCAAAACATAAAACAAAACATTATGTTACCAGTTTAAAGA